GAAGAATGCATTAGATTAGTGAGACTTTAAGAGAAAAACATGACGAAACATCTTATTTTTCTCATAAGTATGACTATATACGACATAAATATTTTTTTGGATACGAACTCATACCCATAATTGGAACACGGGTTGGGTTGGGTTCTACGGGTTGTGTAATCCAAAATCCAAACCCAACCCAAAAGAGGCGGGTTGTACAAAAGAAAACCCTCACCCAACCCAAAACCTTCGATTTAACGATAAATACGGGTGGGTTGGGTCGGGTTGGACGGGTGGGTCGGTTTGCGGGTGTGTTTGTTCACCCCTACTGGCTTGTTTAAGGCCATAGAGAGACTTATTTAGTTTGCAAACCAGATTAGAAGTGTCACCAGGTATTTTCAGTCCTAATGGAAGTTTCATATAAACATCCTCAACTAAATCTCCGTGAAGGAAAGCGTTATTTACGTCAAGTTGATGTAAATGCCATCCTTTTATGGAGGCTAGAGCAAGTAAGGACCGGATAGTAGTTAACTTAGCTACTGGAGAAAATGTATCTAAGTAATCTATGCCCGGTGTTTGAGTATAACCTTTGGCAACAAGTCGAGCTTTTTCTCGCTCGACTGTTCCATCAGAGTGGAATTTTACCTTGTAAACCCATTTGTTCCCAATGGGTTTTACATATGGTGGCTTTGGCACGACTGTGAATGTGTTGGTCCGAAGGAGAGCATCTATCTCTAAATCCATGGCTGCATTCCACTTATCATGCTGAGAAGCTTCCTTGTATGTTTTAGGTACTACAACAGAAGAAACAGCTAAAACAAACTTGGAATGATGATCAGCAAGCCTGTTAGTAGATAAAACAGAAGATAGAGGATAGGAAACAACAGAATCAAACACAGAGTTGCAAACATAATCTCGAAATTTAAGAGGTGGTTTCCTCTTTCGAGGAGGTAGACATTCTGGTTCATCATCAAATGATGGAGGGTACTCAGGAGGAGCTACTCCATCATCATCATTAGTTGAAATAGAAGAAGTAGAAGGATTAAGAGAAGAATGTGGGTCGGGTGCCGAAGCAGTAGGTAAATCTGGAATAGCACTAACATCAGAAGATGCAATGCCATCCAATGATGGGAAAAACAAACTCAGAAGAAACAGGCGAAAAATCCTTTGAAAAGAAAGGTAAAACACTTTCATGAAACACTACATCACGAGACTCACACAAGGACTTAGTGACTAGATTGTATAACTTACAACCTTTAGTAGCAAATGGAAAACCTAAGAAAATGCAAGGTTGAGCTCTAGGTTCAAACTTTGGTCGATTGTGCGCCAAAGTAAACATGTACACCAAACAACCAAACACACGAAAAGTAGAATAATCAGGAACATAATGATGCAACAACTCATAAGGAGACTTATTATCTAAGACTGGACTAGGGAGTCGATTGATTAAGAATGTAGCATGTAAGACAACATGACTCCATAACTTGGAAGGAAGTGAAACAACAGGGCACGAGCAACAGCAATAATGTGCTGCTGCTTGCGCTCCACCCGACCATTTTGTTGTGAAGATGCAACACAAGTAGTCTGATGCACTATGCCTAAAGAACTATAGAATGAAGGCATGGAAAACTCAAGTCCATTTTCAGATCGAATGATCTTAGGCTTGAGATTATATTGTGTCTGAATATGACTAATAAAGAAAACTAACAAGTCACGTGCTTCAGATTTCTTACGCATCAAGTAAACCCATGTGTTTAAGGAGAAATCATCGACAATAGTTAAAAAATATTGATAACCATCCATAGAAGTAACACCATATGGACCCCATATATCAACGTGAATCAAATCAAACAAAGCAAGAGCATGAGAACTACTTACCATAAATGGCAAGCGTTTCTGCTTAGCCATTGGACAAACAGTACAGTGTTTAGTTTTATAAGAAGTGACACTATTATCTTTAGACATAATAGTGTGCAAAGGATTACATGAAGCATGTCTAAGCCGATAGTGGCAAATATCAATGTCATGAATTGTAGTATCAAAAACAACAGAAAGACAACCGGATTTTGGTGTAGAAGCAGTGATTGGGGCAGGAAGAGAGCTGTTGAAAGCAGGTGTGAAGCAATAAAGCCCACCAGACTCTCTAGCTGTACCAATCAGCTTGCGGGAGACCAGATCCTGGATAATGCAGTGATTATGAAAGAATGTCAAGGAACATGCTGTGTCTTTTGTTAATTTACTTACAGAGATTAAGTTGAACCCAAACAAAGGAATATAAAGCACATTCCTAAGTTCTAAGGAACCAAACAAGACAACAGTACCAATATGAGTAACATATAATTGGCACCATTCGGAAGAGAAACATTAATACCATTAACAACAAGGTAATTACTAAAGTAATCTAAGCTGGAAATGACATGATCAGAAGCCCCACTGTCTATGACCCAAGAAATCACATCCACTTTCATATGACTATTTGCTAGAACATACTTACCTCCAGAAGAGGAAGGTGCTGCAGAGTCAGTAGTAGCACCTCTAGTTGTGAAAGCATTGGCCATTGGGACATGGGAAACAGGAGCAGGAGATGGCTGACTCACTGAGAACTGTTGAGCAACCAAAGCTCGATATTGCTGCTGTGTACAATCGAATCGGAAGATTGACTCCCGTTCTCAAGAGAAACAGAAGCATCAGTAGGCTCACTAACTACAGCATTAACCCTAGACTTTCCTTTGTAACCAGGGGGATAACCATGCTTCTTGAAGCATTTATCTACAGTATGACCAATCAATCCACAGAAAGAACAAACAGGACGCTTGGACTGGTTATTTCCCTTATATTGGTTGTTCTGGACAGCACAAGCTAAAGGATTGGAACTAACAGTAGTGGATATCCTGTTCTGACGCTCAAACTGAACTATCATGGAAAAAACCTTGTTGATAGGAGGAAGAGGATCCATCAACAAGATCGAAGAACGAATAGACTTAAAATCCTCTCCAAGACCTCTCAAGAACCTAATAATCTGATCAGATATCACATACTCAGCACAAGAACACTTTGGAACACACAAGCAAGACCTAATTGGACGATATGTCATCAATTCATCCCAAAGAACCCTAAGCTTGGTAAAGAACTCACTCACAGACATACTGCCCTGCTTAAGAGTGAAGACCTCATCCTGCAAGTCTGCGATACGAACAAGATCGGTGATGCTGAAACGCTCGCTGAGATCTCTCCAGACCTCGACCGCTGAGTTGAGCCAGAGAACGCTCTGTCCGATGTCTGGAGCCAGGGAACGAATGATCCAGCCAAGCACCATCGTGTCGCACTGCTGCCAAGCGGTGTAGAGAGGATCACCCGGCGGCGGTGTCGGAACGGCAGGATCGATGAACGCGAGCTTGTTCTTCGACAAAAGGCCAAATCGCATGGATCTCGCCCAGGAGTGGTAGTTCGGCCCGGTAAGCACGATTGACACGAGCTGCGTCGTCGAGGAATCACCGGAGCTGATGTAGTAAGGATGATTAGGCGCGAGGGCCGCTGCGAGAGGGAGAAGCGGCTGGTAAGACGAAGTCGCCATTGGAGAAGAAAGGAAGGTTCGAGAAAAGGAAACCCTAGAAGGAGATTGCGGAAGCAAAAAAGTCTCAGTCAGAGAAACGAAAAACGTATTTGCTCTGATACCATGTTATGAGAGAGAAACGAGCTAATTTTATTTCACCAAAAGTAAATTTTTACACTGTTCAGTTTACAATATTTAATTATTTATATAAGTTCTATTCTACTAAATTACAATACAGTACCTAAATTAAACAAATATTACAATCTGATCCTATAACTACTCTATACACTAATACAGTTGCCTAAATCGCAACTTCCAGGAGCAAGCCGACCAGCTTCCTCGTCGACGATGAAGCGAAGAATCCGATCGAAAATCCATGGCGAGTGGGGCTGGCAAGCGACAGCGGGCGAAGACGGCGAGTGGGAGGGAACGGTGCTGGGAAGAGGAGAGTTAAGGTCGACGAAACAATAAACCTTACCCGTTGGCTTTTGGGTTTAATTGGGTTAAACAAAAAGTTTTATAATAATTATGATATTAGATTAAAATTTAAATAAATAAATTATTCCATCTATCTGAATACCCCTAACCGCTATTAATTATTAACTTCTTATTAACCACCTAATCTCCTAACATCCAATAGAATTCTTTTAGGCATATGCTTAAGTTACTTAGGCCGAAAAAATGGCATACATCAATTGAAAAAAGTTATTTGCAAAGACGTGATCTACTGTATGCCTAGACACGAAATTACTATTCATTTAGACTCAATTTTACTGTTCACCGTTCCCCCATTGGTCCAAGCTATGCGATTGGGCCCGCCTGCGTTTTCTGATTGGTTGGCTGCCTGCGTCTGGGTCCCGCCGTTGTTGCTGTGTGTGCCGCGTTGCCCTCCGCTGCACGCTCATTTTCCCTTGCCCTTTTGTTTTATTGTTTTTCTTTCTCTACTTCTCTCAGCCATTCCCTCTGAAGCCTTCTTTATTACACTGTCCTTATCTCTTTGTGAAAGTATCATTCCCCTTCCCTACGTTTCTCTCCGTGAGTGGACCGCCAACTGACGCACGTTACTGTTGGGCCTGCTTATTCTTGGGAGAAAGCAACGCATTGGTTAGAGGAAAGATAGAATATAACCCATCAGTGCATTTAGTTTCACAGTATTTTCCTCTCTCCACTCTCTTCTCTCTGTTTTTTTCCTCACAGCCCCTCAAAAGCTTGGAGCGATCGACTGGAGAAGGAGAAGCCGAGAGAGGAATCGGAGGAGGCACAAATCCGATGAGCTTTCAAATTGTGGTTGCGAGCGACTGGGAAATCTCCCAGAACCCGCCGCCGTATCAACGCCCACCTCTCCACCCTCCGCTCCCTCCTCCCCGAGCGCGTCAAGGTTCATCAATTAATCAGTTGCACTTCTTCTTCTTCTTCTTTGACGAAACTTTTTGCACTCTAAACCAGCTAATTCCAATTGATTGACGCGATGGCGGAGGCGGTGGACCGCTTGAGGCAGCTGAGGAAGCAAACAGGGCTGAACGGAGCTGAACCGTGGTGTTTGATCCTGGGGGAATCTGACGGGGCGACGGTGAGCTATTGCGGCGGCAGAGATGGGAAGAAGAAGATGATGAGATTGAGCGTGTGCTGCGACGATCGGCCAGGGCTGAACGGAGATTTGAGGCAGGTGATTCGGTCGGTGCGGGCGAGGGCGGTTCGGGCGGAGATCAGTTGAAGTCGAGGAAATCATGGGATCTTTTGGTGAGCTCTTGATCTCTAGAATTTTGTTTCGTTTTTTTCCTCATCAGTGGCCTCAATCGTTTTGTTCCCTGTTGTTTTTTCCTTTTATGATGATTTTGTTTTCACCCTGTTTCTAAATGGGTTCTTTCTCTCTCAAAGGGTTCATTTGATTTCTTTCCCAGATCTGACAGTTTTTGTTTGTTTTGAATAATCAGATCTGGCAGTTGATGGCGAGAGAATCGGGTTTAAGTTTTAAGCGAGGGGTTGGATGTGATCCAGATTCTCAAGTGGAGTGGAAAAGAAGAAATGGCTTATGTCAGAGGTTTTCGGCACATTCATGGATATATGTTAATACCCTGGAACCAAACAATAAACTCTTGGTCCTTCTTTTTTCTTTCTTTGGTTTTTCAGTTTTGATTCACTTAGATGGGAGCTCTAACTGTGGTCTTGAGAAGAACCAGATTTGTAGGTTCTGTTTTGGGTTCACAAAATTGTTCACCTATTCTCCGTTTGATGAATTGGTCTATCTCCCCTTATTACTGTTTCTTCTTTCAAGCTCTCTTATTTCGTATCGATCTTGATTGGTATGAAGTTTGCACACCTCGATGGGTTTTGCTTGATTGCGCTTAAATGGGTTTCGTTGGTGATGGTGTGACTAACGGAAGTCCCAAGGTTACAAGGAGCCTAATGAGTTCCATTTCTTTCGTTTTGTTTCACTTTCTATTATCCCACTATGCAGAGTTCTGGTTTGCTCCCATTGAAAGGGAAGTGGGACTTCGCCAGTGGTCTTTGTATTTGAGAATCAATGTAAGTGGTCTGCTCCTGAAATTCTCTCATCTTCCTTCTGATAGTTAATCTTTGCTTTTGTGGTGTTTTCATGGAATCTCTCTGCTCCTCTTCGTATACCCAGGCCATTAAAGAGAATTATTTCCAAAGATCGGCACCTACTGTACACATAGACTGAAGATACTATTCATTTAGACCTAAATTTACTGTTTGTCCTCCCCTGATTGGTTGCTTTCCTGTGCGTGGCCCCGCTGGTTTTCTCAGTGTGTTGGGGTTGGGCCGACAATTTTTTCTCCGGTTTTTTTGAGTTTGGGCCGGATTTTCTGCGTGGTGCTTTGCGAAGCTGAGCCCGTTGCCCGCGGAGGGCCGATGCTTTCCTCCTCTTTCTCTGGCTGTCTTTTCTCGCATACCTTCTTCTCTCTCTGGGCTTCTGGTATGAGACAGGGATTTGACTCGACCCTCCTTGAGAAAGAAATGGAAGGTCAGTTCTTGGTGGTGGTCTCGAGACGAGAGAGGACTCGGAGGAGACAGGGATATGACTCGACCCTCCTTGAGAAAGAAATGGAAGGTCAGTTCTTGGTGGTGGTCTCGAGACGAGAGAGGACTCAGAGGAGAGAAGTGGCTCCAGTTCCTATCGTGGTTTTCTCAGTGTGTTGGGGTTGGGCCGTTGATTTTTTCTCCGGCTTTTTTGAGTTTGGGCCGAATATTCTGCGTGGTGCTTTGCGAAGCTGAGCGCGTTGCCCACGGAGGGCCGATGCTTTCCTCCTCTTTCTCTACCTGTCTTTTCTCGCATACAAGAGGTGCACTATTGAGTAGCTTGCGTGTTGAGTTTTTCCAGTGTTGTTCATGGATCAATAGCCAAGGTTTCTATCCGATTATGGGTTACAACGGTTTTAGAATGTAGGCAAGAAAAGAGGAGCAACCAGTTGATGGTTGCTGTTTATTTTAACAAGAAATTGCAGGTGGAAGTCACTGCTTTAATTTGAAATTTGACATGTTCCAATCTGTTGCCTAATATAGATGTTTGTGGATAGTCATCTAAATATCAGAACAAACTGACCCTAACAGCACCAAGTTTGAGGGTTGTATGATGTTTTTGCCTACGTTGACATAGCCATAAATGAGGAACCAAGTACAGCCCATGTTCTAAATATACAGCAAGAGCAAACTTTAGTTTAATTGTGTGGTATCACCTGGACCATTGACAATGTTAAAAATGAATAAACAATAACAAACTGCGGTTACATAATTAAAGTGTTCTCGAATGAAACATTTGTGTTTTCTCAATTTGCTTCAAGCCCGGGCGTGTATAGATAAATATAAATAACGGGCCCTCTTTTACGATATATAAGAAGATATATGAATTGGGCCCAGTATTCTCATATTTAGCCCGAATAGGAGATGCCTTTGTGCTTATATTAAGTTTCTATAGCTTTTGGGAAGCCCATTCTATAATTGTTCGGTCCATTAGGGGAACAATTGATAGCCCATTGAATATTAAATTTATGATTTTATAATGGTGGTGCGAAAACGTTTTAGGGACCAACTTCCACCGCCTTTTCATTTCGGTTCTGATTCTGCCTTTTAACTTCCCCTGTTCTCTGAACTTCTTTTCCCAGGAACTACAGTGCTTCGCGACTTCCAGATCAGGGATAGTCGTGTATTCATGGGGTATGATCGCCGATAGTTTTCCCTTTTGCATTCTGTTTCTGTTTCTTGACACTTTAACAAATTTTTGATCTTCCATTGTCTTTCCATTTCAGGCATCGTTGTATAATGCCGCGTGATTTCAAACTTCCAACTCTTCCACGAGGTATCGGCTCCGTTGCTTTCTGTTTCAAGTTTCTATTTATTGGTTTATGAATGAACACTGCCGAGGTGTGAAGTTTTGGGGTTTTTCTTTGTCTTTCGAATGCCACAGACCCAATTTCCACATGCATGGTGTTTCGTGGTCTACGTGTTGGTGCTTATACTGATATTATGATCATCCGAGTTCTTAATGTATGGATTGAGCATGGTGATGACTCTCAGGGGCATAAAAGAACAATGCATGTGCTGTGTCTTGACAAAGAGGTCTGTCATTCGTCTACATAATGTAATATTTATTGTTTATGTTTGATTTTATTGTAGTAATGCACTAAATCACATTTAACAGGAACATATGCTAGAGGCCTGTATTGAGGAAGATGACATTCAAGAAATGCAACATAAGTTGAAAGTAGGAGATTTACATGTCCTGGATGGCTTTCATGTTATTCCTGCGAGGGAAAACATGCGTGTTGTTCCCACTGAAGTTCGCTTTGCCTTAAGGCGTGAACAGATTATATTTTGTGTGCCTAACAATCCGGGTTATCCCAAGTTTCCTGTCAATGCTTTTCTGAAAATTTCGTTCTCGGCTGTTCCAATAGAGGCAGAGGTAGTTGTGAATTATGGAGGTATCTTCCTCGAAAGTTGTTTTCACAAAAAGTATTCATGATTATTTGCTTACTATGAATTGAATTGCAGATGTTACAGGTTGCGTTGTTCATCTGAAAATTCCAGAATTTTCAAATAATGGTGTTCTTAGGTTTGAGCTCATCATAGAAGACAGCAGGTTTCTAGCGTATTCTTGTGCTTATTTTTGTTTGTTAGACTTTATGTGGGATTAACTGATCTTTTGCTATTTTGTATAGAGGAAACAGGGCGACAATGTACTACTCTGGAACTGAAGTTACAAAGTATTTGGAGTTTGCAGGGGAATCTGAAGCTCGACTTCCTCTCATTACCATAATTACTGCTGTTACAAGGTTGCCAATTACAGATGCCACTGGAGATGCATATGTATTTCAATCTTCACCTGGAAGTCGTCTGATCATTGCTTCTTACAATCACCATTATGAGAAAATCATAAATAGGTACTATTATATTCGAATTCTATGTTTATATATTGACAGACCTGCTCTGTTGGATGCTAGAAAAACAATACGTACATTCTTTTTGTTGTTTAGGTTCATAGGTGATCGAATGCCAGTGACTTACATCAATAGTACTTCTCGCTGCTCTATTGGTGTGGTCTTCTTCCTCCCAAAAGAAACCTCAAGCAGCTAAAGGATGATATAATGTTCCATGCATAGGCCTACCAGGTATATGTATGATTTTTGTTGTTTTGATTGTATTGGATAACACATATCCCAAATATATAGTCATATCTTTTACCTATTATAACACAAATTCCTTCCTTCAGACTCCCTATCATTGTATGCTGGAAATGACAAGATTTACATACGGTCCAGAAGTCTTTAAATCATGTTCAGGTTTTCCAAGGTATGATTCAATTTTATGTTTTGCTAATAATCTGTTGTCCATTACATTTCAGGAAGATCAAAACGTTCCTTTTATTGTTTAATTCAGGGTACGATATGAATTACAAGCAACATGTGGGTGTGAGGGAGAATATGTTGATGTTGTGTTTGATCATGAAGCTGTGTTGGGCTTGGTTTGGGTTTCACCCGAGGAACTTTTCATTCTAACCTATGAAGAAGGATATCAGTACATTCAAGACAGGTGTTATGTGCCTTTTATGGCTGAAGCTTATGTTGCTCCTGGGACTTCAGAAAATCCTCCTACAACCCGAATTGCTTCAATCTGGAACCCTAATGCTTTCGTGTGATTGAAAACTGTTCTACTTGGAACTTAGTTTGTCGGGACGGCTTATTTATAATTATGTATGTTATCTATTCAGGACATGTTGCTCTGTTTTCTGTCAAAAAAACTTATTGTTTTCCCCTAACTACTTTGGTATTTTGTAAATTCACCGATGTACTCACTTCGACAATTGACTGGCCGCTGGTTATTCTGTTCGGTCCATATGGAAGTCCCTGATGTTTGTACCTCAATAGTTTAGAGAGGTGAATGTTTTATTTTGATCATGAAGTCCCTGATTGGGCACATGGAGAAACTACTTTCCGCCCTTAATATTGTATCTACCAAAAAAACTAGCAGGAGACATTGTTTGCGTTTTGAATTCTGGGCAGGTTCTTCATGTTCTTCCTGTTCTTGCAGAATGACACAATAGAATATTTTATCATGCTCCTTTGATCGAACTTTTAAAAGAACATACAAATAAATTGTTTTCACCAAACGACAGACTCCTTAACGTTTTGCAAGACAACAATTTTGGGCCACAAATGAAACTACACCTCCCCTGCCAAATTTAAATATCGGCCCACATAAATGGTTTGGCCCAATTTCACAACATTGACTACGTTGTCGACCCTGCACTACCCTACAAAAAAGAGATTCTATTTCCAGAAGTAGACTCTTATCCGCCGCTGAAGTTTGCTCCACGAACCAACAGACAAACCCTAAACAAAGGTAAATCGCCTTCTCCTTCTAACTCCACTCACAGAATTTACAATTCAAAAAGACAGCTCATAAACAAAGGTCCCTACCACGATGGAAGCTTCGCACAAAAAACGCACGACCACGGTAGAAGATTGCATGGTCCCCAGCAACAGCCGAGGTAAACACATTCCATCTCAATAGGTGTTCCTTTAAACGTCTAGATACATCTACAAAATATGTCGTTTATGTTTGTCTATTTCTGGTGGTCTTTGACACAATTTCAGAAACCCTCCAATCATCCGCTACTTTTCGAGGGATACGTTTGGGAATCAACAACCGCAGTGTCGTCGCTCGTCTTATAAACACATGGTTTGAATTTCGAGAGGCATACATATGGAAGAAAAGGACGCTGCACATGCTTTGGCTGGATCGAAAGGTGAGTACAACCTTTTAACTTATAGACAGATGAAAGATGACAAAAGTGCTTTAGTTCATTATTTACATGTTTACATTATTAAAGAATAACTCACCATACGTTATGTTTTACTCCAGATCTATGTCATTATTTAAAATAGTTAGTTACCATGACACAAGTTTGGGCACTGTATGAGCTATGAATGTTTAATCTTGCAGAAACAAATGATAGAATGTTATGTGGAAGAGGAAGATATCGAAGAAATATATGGGAAACTTCAATTAGGCCACCTATATAAACTTGATGACCTGGTAGCTGTCCCAGCAAAAAGAAAGGGCAGAGTAGTTCCAAGAGAGTTACAACTGATGATGAAGGCTAATCAGCTTATCTCTCATGTTGAAGAAGACGAGGACAGTCCAGAGGATCCAGTGGACTTATACCTTGCAGCCTTCTTTTCAATGTTGCCAATGCAGAAAAACAACTATGACTGCCATGGAGGTAACCACTAGATAATTTACTTTTACACTTAGAACAAAGATGTAAATGCACTGACAATTATAAAATTACAGACATCACTGGTTGTATCCGACGAGTCACAGTTCCAAAAACTGTTCAGGGCACCCTTAAGGAATTCATCGTGATCATGGAAGATGTGAGGTAACTTCGGCAAGTACATTACAATTACATTCAGAACAAACATATGCGAGTTTACTTATATATTCCTAAAATCAGTGGTGCAAAGGCTATTGTTAATTACCGCGGTTGGGACATCATCGACTACCTGAAGATAGCACCGACAGTTGAGTTACACCTTCCTCTAATCACCACAATAACTAATGTAATGAGGTTACCTCCTCCAGACAACCAGAAGTATCAATATCGGTTTGTGTCAACAGCAGCCAGTCACCTCATCATAAGATCATACAAAGATGCCTCCAAGGAAATCATGAACATGTACAGATATTTGATTGAAATTTTAAGTGTTATCTTTAAAAAAGGCAAAAAACCATTGCTTACAAAGTGGTTTATACACCATTGCAGATTCCTTCCAAGACGCAAACCAGTGACTTACTTCGATCCAATCACGAAGGAAAAGATCGGCTACCTGCGTTCTGAACGACCTCCAAAGAAGACTCTGAGTGAGATCAAAGCAGAACTTGATGGTCAACCAACTGCTCAAAAGGTACGTTGCCACCCTTAAGCAGCTCCATAGATAAAATAAAATGAAAACTAGGTTCTCTAATCACTCCTACTTGACAAAAAAAAAATAATACAGATCCTTTATCGTTGCAAATTTACTATCCCTCAAGTTTGGTACCGAAGGAGCATTTGCAGGACCACCCAGCAAAGGCCAGAGAAAGTTCCACCACACCTGCATAAACCTTAACTATGACTTAGAAAACATTTACAACATAACTGACACATTTGTTCTAATTGTAAGACCCCACTATGAAATTCAAGCAATGTTACGTGACGGTTCAGGCGAAGTGGAGGTCATAATGGATCATGAGGCAGCTCTGTCAATCATTTGTATATCAACTAGAAGATATCGCAAGCTGGAGAAGGAAACAATCAAAACAATTATTGGCAAAAATTGTGCGAAGGTGTTTGCAGGAGAATTATACATTGGGTGGCCAAATATGAACTCCACAGATCCTCCAGCTCGCATACAAATAAGAGTGGCAACATTGTGGAACACCTCGGCCTTTGACAAGTGATGATCAGTTTCCTTGGAAATTATTGTAAAAATAACTATCAGGCACAGCTTCCCCATCTACCTGCACTTACTCTCTCAGAGACAATTTCAAACAGTTTAGGACTTAATGTACTTCTGTATATTTACTACTATGCTTCTCAGCAACTTTTGTGCAAGTCTCCTAGGATATTATATGGCTCTAAGAAGCCAAACCATGTGTATTCCATTAATGGATGGATGGTATATCACAAATTTTATATCTTTTGTGGGATCGATATGAATTCCCAATGTACATGCTATTTCAGCCTGAACAACTATCGATGATCTTAGAATAGAACCTCAATAGGATCAAGCTTATACATCAAAATACAATAACTTAATTGTTCCACCCATCCCGGCGCAGAGCGCGGGCAAAGAAAAAACTAAATCTCCAGTACATTTTGTGTGCACTTAGCTGTAATGAGTCGTCTATCTATATTATTGTTCTTGGTTTATCAACAATGCTGATTGATGTAGGTTGGAAGACAACGCGGTTTCACGTCTCCGTGTACACTGATGACTTAAATCAACATACCCCGCAGCAGAGCGCGGGCTAATTCCTAGTAAATGTATATATTCCTTCCACCTTATATGCAATATACAAGGGTAAATTGGTCATTACCAAACAATAGAATAATAAAATTGATCATAGCTCTTACATGCGATATTTTTGCTCGAGCGTACAAAATTATGAATGCTGCGTAGTGCGTACGTAGGCGTGATTTGAAAATCGGGAGAATAAACTGTTCCACACCCGGTCTTTTTTTTTTTTTTTTTTGTAAAAATGTCGGGTAACTACTATTGATTGGGTATTTTTACCAAGCAAAACTTATGGAAAGCCACAAACAATTTGCTCTCGTGATCACTTCTAAAAGCAATCTCAATTCATGCGTCTTTATTTGGTTTCAAAATTTGTTAGTTCAGATTTTTATTTCTCAGCTATATATATATTCTGAATAAATGTGACAAAACTTTGGTTATAAAAACGATTTCATCCCTTATTGTGACCTAAACTTTGTTAAAACAGAATTTGATTTGAACTTTTAAATATCAACTAGTTTTCAAAACAATTCATGCCATCAACCTGATTTTTTTTATTAAAAAAAATGATCGCTAAAATGGACGGATGGATAGTCCTTTCTTTCCTCATCATGGAATCAATCAATAATCCACCATTTTATTTTACCCCTTCAAAGCAACAGCATATATAAGCATTATTAAAGTAAAAAAAAAAAACTAACCATTACAATTGCATGTGGTTACATTTAAACTGGATTGATAAGTAAAGACAAAGTTAACTGGTAGTTGTTGTAAGGAACGCAGGCTGACTAAAATCATTAATCACTGCAAACCTACTTTTTAACACGAGATTTCTCATGATTAAAGGTCTTTTTTTGTCCTTCCTGTAGTGTTTCTTATGGATAATTATTGTTGGCTCCCTCCTCCTCCTCACAACCACATGGCGCCTCATTGTTACTATTACGAACAACGGTAACACGAGTGACGCCGCCAGATCCATACGTCACAGTCTTCGTCGACGACGTCTGTGTCGTCTCAGCGTTTCTAAAAACATGACTACTATCACTCTGAGACGATGACGACGACGACGACCTGTACGATTCGTATTGATAACCTTGCGGTGGTGGCGGTGGTCGTTGACCCCAGTATCCACCACCACCGCTACTAGCCATAGTCGTAGTGGTGGTGGTGGAATCGTTCTGAAAGTTGGACGGCGAAAAGCTCGGCGGCCCATTCAGCTGACTGTCAATCATACGACTCGTCGGCGGCGGGTCCTGGAACGTAGAGGAGGCTGAGCTGTCCCCGGTCGCCGAACCGGAGTTGGTCGAGTGGCTTCCCCAGACAAGCCCTTTGCTTAGGTCCTTGTCGTCGTCGTCTGATGGGTAGTAATCTACGTATAGAGGAAGAAGTTAGTTGTTATAATACGGAGACAATAATATAACCTTAGATTATTTCCGTATTAGTGTCGTAAAAGATTTATTATAGAAGTCAATCTGTGTACTATATATAAACGTAACCAGTGGCGGATCCAGAAATTTTTTATAGGGGTGTCCTCTTTAAAAAAAATAAAAAATAAAATAAAAAATTCATAAATAAGAAAATACATGACTAGTACAAATGTTAACAAAAGGTCATGACGTGTTTTCATATTCTGAAAAAGAATATAAAATATACTCGACGTCTTCACTGCTCAACAAATCTATATATCATACTAGACAATAATATACGAACTGATCTCATATTCGAATTCTAACCTTGTTCTTTATGTATCTCAAAGTTGAAAGACTCTTTTAACTCTTGTTTGTAACTATAAAATCAATTCAAATTAAGAATAACCCACAATTAGTTTAGTTGTTAGGTCTTGAAAATAGTTGGGGATAAGCAATAATGTTTTTACTATTTCTTAGTGTTTAAATAGAACAAGAATTGAGTTGCAACCTAAAGAATATGTTTAATAATAGTAGTGTCCTAAGTTTGAATAACACAAACTACCATTTATAATTTTTTAATCTTACACAAACTACTATCGAGAATAGTATAATCATTTTTTTTTCAAATTTAAGGGTGTCCCGGATTACCAATTATAATTTTTTCTCCATACGAAACCACAGCTGGGGGTTGGATAATCGTGTTTCCAAATTTTAAGGGTGTCCCGGGACACCCCTAAATGTCCATGTATCCGCCACTGAACGTAACCCTATGTGATTTCAATAATAATATGCAACAGTTCCACGGTGTTCTGATTTACATAGAGGAGGGTAAAATAGTAATCTTTCTGATGATCACGTACCTGCGAGTTCACGGGCAGCCAGAGTTGTTTTAGAGGGTAGGAAGAGAGTTGAAGTGAGGGCGGCTGTAATGAGCAGGAATCCGCAGAGGGACGAGCAAGAAATCATTCTGTTTCTCATTCTGTATTTGCGATTCTATCAAGTTAATTTGGGAGAGGTGGCGATGTTATTATATATATATATATATATGTGTGTGTGGAGGAGGGAGGAGTACCAGCAGTTTCTCCCTTTTCATTGTTGCGTTTATTCATGGTGGTTGACCCGGTTCGACCCTCTGGAGTGGTGGGTCAATTACGTATGGCAGAGAAAGGATGTTGGACTTGGGACGATAATGTTTGCTCATATGACGACTTAGTCAATCGTCAAAAGGAATCTAGGCATGCAAACTTCAAACCCACGTGATTTGATTTTTGTTTGAAAGTGCGTATGTTAATTCATAATTAATCTTCTTTCAACGACTCGAATTGTTTTCCACAGAGAGGGATGAATGTTGAGTATTAATATTGATGAATGTTCGGTTTTAACTTCTAAATATGTGGTTTTAGAATATTCACGACACAATAAATTTGGAATCAGTAGTTACTTGTACAGCGTGGGCCGGAATACCAAGCCCATGAAACCGGTAAAAAGAAGAAGAAAAAAGGAATCTGCGTAGGACCATCAACATCAATACAATTGCAAAAAATCAATTAATTACATGTGGTGTTTTTATCATCATCTCTAATTTTATGCAATCCAACTCAATTTTATTTCATCGCAACCTATGTAAATGCAGTTCACTTGCAATTGCATATATGTGAGTTTAAGTGACTTTGTAATAAATAAATTACGGGTGAAAAATAAATTGTAGTATTTATGTTTTCCTATTTGGTTTGCATCTTCAATTTTATTTCATGCAAACTTGCATCTTTGCAAATGCCCACTACATTAGTGCAATCCCATTTGCAATTTCATATTGTGTGTCATATAGAATTTACAAACTGAGCAAATATCATTGACATGGATGCTCTAATATCGATTCGTTTACTATTCATCCAACGCCTTGCCTTATTGCGTACGTAGTTAACTTGCAACAAGGGGTGATGTGACAAGAATATGGCTGTTTCTTTGGCATTATGCGTTTAGAAGATTCAACAGCCAGTAGGGTAAAAACAAAAAACGGCCACCATCTGCATCTGTTTCTCAGTAGAGACAATAGTGCTGAATAGGAAACATTTCGTCATGCACGCACGTCAGCCGTCGATCGGTTTCATGCATGTTCCAAGAAAGAAGGGTTAAGATCGATCATCAGTTCCATTGGCAGTCCTTGTGTGTCGTCTGCTTGCAGATTTGTTTTTAGCTATATAGCTTCGAACTTGTAATTCACTCTCCAGTCTTCGGAGCTCCATAGCCATAGACATGCTATCTCATGGTGAGAAGATGTGGATTTGTGATAAACCAAATGGGTGTCAATAATTCGAGTTAGTGGTATTGGTTGGTTTATAACGTTTATGAGGGTTACATGTTCAAGAGCTCATAATCTCTGATATTAACCGTTGTCACATGGAATGATGAGTCTGTGCAACAGTACAAGTTTCAAACTCATGGCTTAATTACCTTTCGTTTAAAGGAGCGTATAAGGAAGTGGTTGGAATTTATTTATGAACATCTTCCAAAATTCGAATTACTGTGATGGTTTGATTTATTATATAATTAAGTAGTAGTATTGAGGATTAGAGTCTGATATAGCAGTTTAATGTTGCTTTCCAACTTGGAGATCCAGGTTGGAATTTTACGACAGCTTTTCCTTCTATTTCATAGACCTCATTTGGTGGTAAACTGGTAATGTAAAAAGAATCTCAAAATTTTTATTTTTTTTTCCCATTTGACCTTTTCAATGGGTATAAATGTATAATCCAATCCAATTTATTAGAATAAATTTTGCCATAGGAAATTTCCAAAATATCATTGACCTCAAATGTACTGAGATATTGTCAGTAGGGTGGGCATCGGTCCGGACCAGATCGGACCAAACTCAGGAAAACTAAAGTCTAATAATGAAAAATATTTTAGTATCAAGGATCAGACCAATAGTGCATTCGGTCTGTTTTGATCCTATCCAAATGTCGATTCTTCGGTATTTATAAAATTCATGGGACCAAAGATCGGTCCATATTATATTCGATTCGATGTCCGATCCAAGCATCAGTTTGGTCCGGTATAATTCAATATGGACCATCCCAATTTGTCACATCCCAATTTGTCACCCACTTGTGCGCCAATCCGGTTAGTGAAACATAGTATAGTTAATTGCTGACCGAATAGTTTCTTTTCGCCATTCAAACGTATATCAAATAATGACATTTGCTACATCTTGGGGGGATTTCACTTGATCAAACGTATATCAAATAATGACTTTTGCTACATCTTAGGGGGGGGGGATTCACTTGATATTATTGTGTGGTTTTAACCTCTTTACAACTTTAACGTATTAGAATTGTTTTATATTAATTCAGGCGATAAAATGTATTTAAGAACGTCAAATACATATATTTAAAATGTATATATCTATGCGAGATATTTTGTTATCACCTAACATATATATCGTTGATAGGCGTGAAAGTATGCTTTTTTGAACCATGATTATACCACCGTCATAAAGCATTGGTTAGAACTTTGATGAATCAAGCGACATGCTCATTCTAATTGTACTTCTTAATGACAACCTAAATGACACAAGGCTTTGCTCTAGTTTGCGAAGTAGTGATGATTATGATGGAAAGCCTGACATTTCATATTCTCAAGCTATCCGAACGACCACTAGAACAATGTAAAGAAAGCCGCATCTGCCGAAACGTGCACTGAGGGCAACCAGGCTGAAGAAATTGCATCTTTGCCTGTTGATGAAAGCAACTTGATACAGGCACAAACCGTATAACACGTAATAGTTCAAGAAGAGCAAAGGCAAAAATCGATCGAAAAATGTCTCCAAAGCTGACATTCTAGCTAACAAACAGGTTGAAGAAGCTGCTTGTGCAGTTGTGCCTAACAATTATAAAAGGGGTGACAGTTCTCCAGATGTATTCAAAATTGTTGGAAGATAATCTAAGGTTTTCCAATCAGGTTGTGAGAGATATGGTCCATGATTTCATATTATAGTCTAAAGCTCGACATGGAGAGCTTTCTCCAGGAAGACAGTAATGATTATCGGCCCAGCCAGATCTCCGATAGCACAGCCTGCACAAGGAAAGTTGAGCATTAGCCATGTTTGAAGGGCACAAAACAAATATATAAAACCTGGCCCTGATGTAGATTGCTTACCGATCCATTGACCAGTTGTGGGGCGGACAAGGGCAGCAGTGATCCCAGCTCCTATGGCAGCAAAAACTAGCGAAGCACCACACCTGAGAGTAACACCAGTAACTTTCTTGCCAAGGATTTTAACTTGTTCTGATTTTTCAACCCGTGCGATCTCTTCTTCAGACTTTGCCAGCCGATTGAAGAATCGGTATGTTTCAATACCAACTTGCACAACCCATGATGCAGCAACTCCTAAGAAGTGCCCTGCTCAAACAAACAGGTAAGTGTGCCAAACCACATCAGTTGGAAAGCCCTAGGACAATTATTTGTCAGAAGATAAGGAGAGGAAAATAAGGAGTTTGACCTCTAAAAGTCGTTCTACTGACTCTGAAGATGTAAAGCGTGGTAGGTAATCCTCTTTCAGCCTTGCGCATGGCTGATTTCGGGATATCTGCAAATTGGTTGTTAAATAAGTTAGCAGAGCGAAAGGGACATGAACATGATGGGAGAACTTGGAAATTGTTCTGCAAAGGGGGGAACCTTCAAATGGGTATTCTGCTTGATCCCAAAATTTTCTGAAGATACTAGTTGGGAAGAATCTAGGAAACTAACAAGGATATCAAAAAAGTTTACATTTCATGAGGTAGTTACCTTTAAGAAGTTTCCATGCCATCCGTTGAGAAACATAATGGACAGCAAGACGTTCTAAGATCCTCCTTGTAGTCACCACAGTTGTCTGAAATGAGAAGCAGTCACATTAAATCTTAGCCATAAAAGAGAGCTAGTAGAAGCCAAACACGTATCAGCAATTTCAGTACATTTCTCTTAAAGAATAACCAACTCACTACAAGCTTGTACTATTGTAGACCAATCGGTGAATTACATTCAAAGAGAGGAAAACGAGGAGAGTTTTAGCATGCTGACTGCAGATTTAATTCTCTGCTTCATAGGGTATCATATACATGCAGATAGTTAGATCACAGAAACAGAGGAGAAGTGAAGTATCTTTAGTAAGATGTTTCTAATGGTTAAAGAAACTTAGCTAAGCTCAATTGTCAGGGTACAGTAAACCCCAAGTGGTTGACAAGTGTAAGGGTGGATGAAACATTCAATGCACCTGAAATTTGGGACACACATTACCTATAAAAAAATTGCTTGTCAAAGTATAGAACAAACCAATAACGTGGCAAAAAGACTTGCAGGTGTGCAACAGCTCAGCAATACTGTCCCATAGACAAACCCTACTGCTTTCATACATGATTTATTTTATTATGCATGACAGTTTTTAGAGCCTTGAGCAAAAAAAGTGCAGCTCTAGTTCTACATAAAGACCGAAGATAAGTACACACTGCAAACCATGGACATTCTCCAATCGATAAGCCACTTGACAGAAGAAGTTGAAACAAAAGTTGCTTGAATGTTTACTGCTGTAAAATGCCTTGGGGTAAAAACTACATATATTTAGCTTCACAAACACATTTAACCTTCTTCGGTTATGTCATTGAAAGGTGCCCCCAAAAAGATACCAAGGTTACTGTGATTTTTCAATCATAGCTTTTATAGTCTGATGTTATCTAGCTAGAAGTCCTTAAGGACCGCAAAAAGAACAAACCTATCTACCACAACCAAAAGAAAGCAACACTGTGAAAGTTGGTAGTGTGCACTGGCAACTACTTACTGAAAGCATTTCATGTCAGCGGTTTATACCAACTCCAATGTAAAAAGGAACAAGACAGACATTTAGTTCCATAGGGGTGAAAAGTGAAAACCACAGAAAAAAAGGAATGAAATTCTACCTCGCGAGCAATTTGCTTCACTGATTTTTTGAAAGGGACAACCAAATCGACAGGTCTCTCATCTCGAGCATCCTGCAGGAAGTCATCATCGTCCTCTTCCGTATGTATGCTTGGCTCCAGAAGAGGCAAATAATACATCAAGAACGACCTCAATGAAGTCATGGCCAGTTGCTTCACTTCAAATGCTGAAAACAGCGGCTTTACATCGAAGTAGTATTCCTTGGTCGTGTACTTCAGAGAATCGTGCTGAAAGACACTGCTAGAGGCACTTCGGATGGCGGATATATAGTCTGGTGAAATTGCAGCACCAGCATCACAGTATGCAACTGGAAATTCAGGAAAACTGGCATGGCAACAAGAAGAATCAATGCTTAGACAAAGCTCAATTCATCAGAGGCCAATTCGTGGGCATTCATAGAGGAAGTACTTATTTTCCCCACAATGAAAACAACAATGGATACAATATCATCATGGGAGCAACCAAATCAAAGGCACAAGCAACTGCAATAAGAAAACACAAGCTACAATCCACACAATAGGAATGATTAATCAAATTCCAACCCAGTAAAGTAATAATCACATTCTCCCTAGCTAATTCTTTAAGCACTCCAATCGATCAAAACCCAGAATCTTACAGCAGATTCGCGTTCCTCATCGGCGCGTAAAATGCCAAAATTGAAACAGAAGCAAAAGATCATGTAGGCAGAAGCCGTACCCGAACAAGAACCGAGAGGCAAAAGGGGTGCTCGCAGCGGCGACGGAGGCGGCAGCGGCTGATACGGCGGCGGATGCAGAGAACTGGGGCGAATGAGCGCTGGGGTTTTTCTTCAACAGATCCAACACTATTGCGATACCCGCCATTATTCTTACGTAGCTTTGCACCAACACCCAATTAACAAGGACAGTGTTGTTCCAATGAACAAGGATAGCGACGGGAATTCCGACAGTGAATACAATCAGGAACTCGCAACGGATTAAATCTTCGGCCGCGAGGCTTTTTACGCGAAGGACAGCTCAAACGTCAACGTCCCCAAACAAAGGTGGTCTCTTTATCAGTGACTTTACCGCAGGAAGGGGATAAGGGAATTACAAATCTTAGGGATTTTGACCAGCTCCCACAATTTTTTACTTTCACCTTTTATTTTCTCTCTAATTAATAATGTTAAGATTGGAACGAGTTTTATATATATATATATATACGTGGGCCGAGATGATATTGACATATGGACATGTATTATGTGGCCCATTATTTTTTTTTTTTATAAATGCGTGTATGCTTTTATTTAAGAGTGGACAAAGCATTACAGTCCGCTAGGAGTTGGAGTACAATGAAAATGATTGGCACATCGAACCAGATTTCGGTTTCCTCCCATCTGCACAGCACTCGTGCAATCTAGTGAGCTGGGACATGCCCTTCTCTTCCCAAAATCTCCAATCCACCTTTTTTTTTTTTGAACAAGCTCTCTAATCTCTTCACAAACCTTGTCGATTTCCAAATTAATGATCTCTTTCCCCTGCAATTTGAACATCATAGTCTGACAATCTGTTTCCATTAGCACTGGAACTAGGTGGTGTTGCTTTACGAGCTTCAAACCCCACAAAAAAAGCTTCCGCCTCCGCCATTTCTGGTCTCCATCGCACCTTAGATCGTTTCAATGTCGTAATCACAAATCTTCCCTCTCCATGCCTTACAACCATATCAAACCTCGTTCCCCCTTCCTTCAAAACACTCGCATCTACATTTTCCTTGAATTTGCCCATCTCTGTTGGTGTCTCCTATCTGTAACTCTGGCTAGGCGATGCCGATAAAGGAGATAGGCATCGACGATATCATGTTGATGGAGGTGACAAGTGGCGACTAGAGAAGCAGGTGTGTCGATGGTGTGCCGACATCGTCCCTTTCTAAATAGTATGCGCTATCGTCAGAAGATAGAGGCACATCTCCGCAGAGGCTTGGGAAGGCTAAGGTCTTCTTCAGCGACGGACGACGATATAGTGGGCTGCAACTGCACGTGAGATACAATTGCATTGCCTTTGAACTCTAAAACTATATTTTTAAAAATTGAGAGTTTTTTTTAAGGAATTTATAAATTGAGAGTTGATTCTTGATTGCCCTCTTTTGCAGTTCGGTGTTTAATTCCCTTGAGAATTTACAAAATTGTTTGGATTGAACGCTGCACTTTTTTTACACATACCTCACTTGACACTTAACTTAATTAGAAAGATAACACTTGGGAGTTGATTCTTGATTGCCCTCTTTTGTAGTTCGGTGTTTAATTCCCTTGAGAATTTACAAAATTGTTTGGATTGAACGCTGCACTTTTTTTACACATACCTCACTTGACACTTACGCTGCACTTTTTTTACACATATCTCACTTGACACTTAACTTAATTAGAAAGATAACACGCCCGGTGGAATTCGAACCCACAATCCCCTGATTAGAAGTCAGATGCCTTAATCCATTAGGCCACGGGCGCCTACACTGCTAACTAACATATCATTATTATGTAAAACTAAAATACAATTCAACTAATAATCCCAAAGTTCAGAATTACTAAAACAATTTGGGCAGACGCCAAACTGGATCGATCTTAGTGGGTGTAAGTAGGGACGACGGCACCGGAGACAGTGGTGGAAGGAAGCGTCAAGGAGAGGGGTCCTGGGACCCCACTTGGCCAACAAATTGGGTAACAAAATCGTTTAGATATATAGGATTTTGTACGATCATTCAAGTTTAGGACTCCATAATCTCGTCGATCTTAGCTCGCATAAAGGTCCCAATCAATTCAAAATTCACTTAATACACAAGCGATAGCATTAGTAAAATTTTAAAGACCCCAATAAACCCAAAGTCTAACTACGCCACTTATCAGAGAAGGCATCCTTGACCTCCAACGACGGTTCTACACAGGAGGAAGGAGCCACCGGCTTTCCGAGAAGGAGAAACTTTATTGTCTAGGCGGTAGCCTAGGGGATAGAAGGGGGCGGCGGGGATGGCTTAGATCAGGATCAATGAGTAATTAGTAGTTAATTACCACCAGTTCGGATAAGGCAATGAGCCTCTGTTGATTATATTGCGCTGGCGCCAGACACAGAAGAAAAACGACGAGAAGCATTTGTTTGACGCCTACTTGTTCTTCTTCGCAAATTCATAGGTTGCTTGCTTCAATACTAATTTAATATTTATTATTAATTAATTTTAAAAAGGGCTTGTTTGACGTCTACTCTCCATTCTACAAATTTTGTGTTTAGTTATTGTTTGCTATGTTTAAAAAAAGGACTTGTTTGCTTGATGGATTTGGTGAGGGATTTGGATCCATCATGAACTTTGTCCAAAATCCATTGTTTGCTTGATGCATTTAGGGGTAACAAATCAGTGGGTCCCACAAATAATGGTATTTTTCAAGTCCATAATGAACCCAAAACCCTCATATATCCATGGTTTACAAAATCCAAGAAGCAAACGACCATTTACATCCATTGTCGAGTAGGTTTTCGTCTATGGCTTTTTGCACAAATCATCCCCTTGCCCACTATTGTGCAACCCATATCAAACTACTATCGGAGGAATCCTAAGTTGTTCCCCACCACCGTTTCGCAAAGGCGCTACCACGAGTTTTGTATCAGGACCAAGTTCCATCCTATTTAGTGTTTTTTTTTCTTTCTCTTTTTCCTTTTTGTCGAGCATGATCACAATTGAACCAAACACATGCGTATCCTAACTTGAACCCAAATCATCGCCTTTTCCCAGCATTTCGCAACCCAACTCAAAACACTATTCATTAATTATTATTATAATATATAAAAGCCTAACATTGGAGTTACTATTCAGTAGTGGCTCTCACACTCCTCCAAGTGCAAGTGGGGAAGTTTCAAGTCCTTGTTTTACCACACTCTTCATTCTACAACTTTTGTCCATTGTGTTTCCCATAACAATTATTGCCTAAAAGCCTAACATTGAAGTTATTATTCATTAGTGGCTCTCACCCTCAAGGTTGTCAAACCGGTTTACGCCGGTATGCCGATTTTGCAAGTGGAATGGTTCAACCGTGGCATATGCCGGTAAGTGCTGGTTTTAACAAAATTACGTAAAAATTAATTCATACATAGATAATCAAAGATCAAAACAACAGGGCACCAGAAGAAATGCAAATAAAAGTAAAATTAGATAGTGTAGTAACCTAGAAATAACAAGACATTCAATTATTGAATTTCTTCATCTTTGGCCAAATCGAATTGTGGAGAAGAGCCGGGCAAAGAGGATCCACCATTTAGGGGGCCTTTGAATTGGCTTCCGGGGAGACGAGCCAGTGGCGGCCCCATAAATTTTTCATAGGGGTGTCCTCTTTTAAAAAATAAATTAAATAAAAATAAAATTGTGAATATAAAAATAAAATCGTAAATATGAAAATACCTTACTCGTACAGGTTAAAAAAGTTCATGATGTGTTTTCATATTCGAAAATAATTGTAGAATACACTTGGTGTTTATAGTGTTAAAAAAAATTCTCTATATACCCTACTAGACAATCATTCAGGAACTTATTGCATATTCGATTTGTAAACTTGTTCTTGATGTAACCCAAAGCTGAAAGACTCTTCAACACTTGCCGTACAATCATAAAATCAATACAAATTAAGGGTAGATTGAAATTAGTTTAGATTGAAATAATTAGAGATAGGGAATGACTTTTTACTATTACACATTGTTGAAAATCGAACAACAAATGTGTTGTAGCTCGACAGAAATTAAGTTTATTAATACTAATAGTGTTCTAGATTTGAATCACCCGACCTACCATTTATATTTTTATACACAAATGACAGTAGGATAATCATTTTTTCAAATTTCAGGGGTGTCCCTCACTATCAATTATATTTTTTTGTCTATACGTAAATTACCACCGGGGGTTGGATAATCATTTTCCCGAAATTTAGGGGAGTCCGAGGACACCCCTAAAACCCCCTGGGTCCGCCCCTGAGGCGAGCAATTGATAAAATAATTCATGGCGGCAGGATGTAAAGGTGTCGATAGGCGATGGTGGAGGGATGGAAGTTGCGAAGGCGACTGCGGCAGGTAGGCGATATCGGCATAGAGTGGAGAAGAGGACATTGTCAGATTCCTCACCGCGGTGGAGTCTCGCCGCCCAGTCGAGTTTAGAGTCCCTGCGGCTGCCTAATCCACCACCGTAACCTCGCCAGCCAGCCTCATCGTCGCCTTGTTATCGCGCCACCAAGCCCTTTGCTATGCAGAGTTAGGGTTAGTAGACAGAGGAAGGAGAACGACAGGGAAGAGCAAGAGGCGTCTCGCGATGGCGCTGAATGAGGGGGTCTCACTACGAAACTGAAAAGCTACCCAATTTTTTTTAATTGAATCACCTCAAACGACGGCGCTTCACTCAATATCTGGAATTATGCTTTCCGATTGGACCACTCGGAATTTTCGATTTTGACCGGAATTGACCGAGGCATCCTACCGGTGGCATTCCAGCTGGTTTCATGACCGGTACCGGTTGAACCTGGTTCAACCGGCCGGCATGCCAGTGGCATGACAACCATGCTCACCCTCCTCCAAGTGCAAGTGGGGAAGTTCCAAGTCCCTTTTTTACCCCACTCTTCATTCTACAACCTTTGTGTTTAACTATTGTTTGCTAGGTTTACATCCATTGTCCATTGTGTTTCCCATAACAATTATTGCCTACTAGGTTTTCAGCTCCCTATTGCAGCAACTATCCATTAGGTTTTCGTCTATGACTTTTTGCAAAAATCATCGTCTTTGTCCACCATTTCGCAGCCCATCTCAAAATACTATCGGCGAAATCCTAAGTTGTTCCCCACCACCGTTTCCCAAGTCAGCTACCACGAGTTTTGCATCTGGACCAAGTTTAATCTTCTTTAGTGTTTTTACTTTCTCTTTTTTCTTTTTGTTGAGCATGATCACAATTGAACCCAAACACATGGGTATCCTAACTTGAACCCAAATTATCACCTTTTCGCACCATTTCACAACCCAACTCGAAATACTAAGTTGTTGCCCTCCACCGTTTTCCAATGTCGCTACCGAAAATCCATACCAGATCTACTCAATGTTGATGAGTTTTGTATCGGGACCGAGTTTCGTCGGTTTTAGTGTTTTTTCTCACCTTTTTCCCTTTTTGTTGAGCATGATCACAATTGAACCCAAATCCATGTGTATCCAACCTAATTTGATCCGGTCAAAGCGACTTGAAACCGACTTTAATATTTATAAATTTCTCTTTTTTCCTTTTGGTTGCGAAGACAAAGGTATTGACGAGTGTTGTATTGTGAGCGATCTTTATCTGCTTTTGTAGTTGGCAGGTTGGACCAAGTGTTAATTTGTTAAAAAATTGGTCAAAGTGAGTTGAACACGTTGTTGACTAGTTTTAGATCGAAAGCAAGTTTTGTACGCTTTAATATTTTTTAATTTCTCATTTTCGGGCTAAGATCAGGTGACTAAGCCAATCTCAGCCATTCAACCTCATTAAAATCTAATGGTCCTAATTTATCAAGTTTGATGAAGGGTAAGAGGGTAATTACCCATTTTATTTATTTAAAAATTAAAATAAATAAAAAAATTGCAGCACCCAGGGCCCCAGCGTGGGTATCTCCCACCCCTCGTCGGGATTAATTTTGTCGGCGGCCCCTGCGCATTCTGGCGGCGTGGCCCGCGTGGGAACCCATTCGTCCTTTCTTGGGGATTTTTCGAGAGAGAAAGAGAGAGAGAGAGAGATTTCTTTTCAACTTATCCGGCGACGGCGGAGTTTTCCGGCGATCAGAGACGGTGATGGATGATTTTCCGGCAACAGTGATGGATTCGTGATGTTTGTCAACCTATATTATAATGTTTATAAGTTCAGTTTGTATTGTTTATATCAATTCGCTTTGTATTGTTTATTATTCTTGTTTGTCATTTTTATCTATTATGTTTGTAATCTTTATATGACTATTTTGTATATATTATAATTTGTAAGCTTTGTTATTACTGTGCACCATGTTTGTAATGTTTTTTATGTCTAAAAAACAACCTGGTTGACTTTTGGATGGAACTCCTCTATATAGGGATGAAGCCTCCAAAGTCAACCTGGGTGTTTTCCCAGTTTGTATGTTTTGTCGATCTAGTTTATCATTTTTATCCACCATGTTCGTAATGTTCGTACGTCTAAAAAACAACCGGGTTGACTTTGGAAGGGAGCCCCTCTATATAGGGATGGAGCCTCCAAAGTCAACCCGGTTGTTTTTTCTTGTTGTATTGTTTGTTGGTGTAGTTCGTATTGTTTGTACAGTTCATATGTTTGTAGATCTGTTTGTATGTTTTTTCGTTATAATTTGTATGTTTGTATTGTTTGTACTGTTTGTAAGTATGGTTTGTATACTTCGTAATTTTTCATAATACCCAAATTACCCATCCCACTAATTAAAAATCTCTTCCCACTTTTTAACCGTTGAATTGAAGTGTCTAGATCTAATGGCTACGAGGGGCTTAGTCAAGTGACTAAGGACCCCCTTAGTGATGGGATCCGCTCTCCTCATTTTCCTTTTCGTTGAGAATGACAATTGAACTCTGACCCATTGTTGACGTGTTTCGTATCGAGAGCGAGTTTTATCCTCTTTTGTAATTGATAGGTTAGGCAAATTTTGAATTTGTTAAAACTGGGTAGACCCAGTCAAAGCAAGTTAAACGCAGTGTTGAGAGTTTGAGGTCATGAGCGAGTTTTATCCGCTTCAGTATATTTTTTTATCTTTTTTCTTTTGGTTGAGAATGACAATTGAGTCCAAACGCATGGGTATCCAACCTTATTTGACCTGACCAAAGTGACTTGAATTTTAGAAGTTTTATGTTTCAAAAGTTGGGAATGACAATTGAGTCCAAAAGCATGAGTATCCAACCTAATTCAATCCAACCTAAAATTTGGCCTGAATATTAGAAGTTTTATGTTTTAAAAGTTGAATCCAAGCCAATCTATTCGACGACTCTTATGCAAGTTCATCGACCATATGTTATTGTAAATGACAAACCTATGAAAAGAATGATTCAGAATAAATTGTTAGACGAAATAGATTATCAAAACAGAATGAGAGATCAACATCGAGAGTTACGTGGTTTCCCCGTTCAGTATGAACGAGACTAGTCCACGGCCGAAGCTATCGTATCCTCTTATGCAGCTTAACCCTAACAGTCTGGTTACAAGCATATATATACAAGTCGTATAACCTTAACCATACCTACTAAGCATATACGGCCAACCCTTAAACCGTACGTACATAACTGTGGGCTAAGGCCCAAGGCTACATAAACATATATCACTCAACAGCCTCCCCCAAATTGATGAGGATCTCTCATCATCAATTTGCGAGACAGATAGAAGTGACGACTAGTGGTGAAAGACTTGGTCATCAAATCGGCAATCTGATCTTCACAAGAAACATGGAAAAGACGAAGAATGCCATCCCGAACCAAGTCTCGTATGTAGTGAAGATGAAACTCAATATGCTTAGTACGCTCGTGAAGCACAGGGTTGGTGGCTATCTAAATAGCACTTGTATTTTCAACATAGAGTTGGAGAGGTATCTTGCACTTAACCCCGAGATCACCAAGAAGCCGACGTAACCAGACAAGCTCCTTAGAGACATCGAACATAGCCCTATACTCCGCTTCTGTAGAAGATTTTGACACGCGGTCCTGCTTCTTACACCGCTAGGAGATAAAGGAATTACCAAGACGAACACACCAACCAGTCGTCGAACGCCGAGTATCAACACAGCCTGCATAGTTAGAATCATAGAAAGCCTAAAGCACGAAAGAACCAGACGATGGAAGATACAATCCGGCGTCTTTCGTGCCCTGTATGTAGCGCATAATTCAATGTTCCACAACCAAGTGATCTGTACGTGGAGCTGACATAAACTGGCTGACGATCTGAACATCATATGCAATATCCGGACGAGTAGAAGTCAGGTAAATCAAACTGCCAACAAGGCTCCTGTAGATCTTCCCCCATTAGCCAACGATTCACCCGACTCTCGACCAAGTTTAAGATTAAACTCCATTGGTGTAGTAACCGGCGAACAGTCCACAAAACGAGAAGTGTCCGATAAATCATCAATATACTTTATCTGGCTAAGTAGAATACCAGCTGGAGAGCGTCGAACCTCAATCCCCAAGAAGTAGGAAACAGGGCCAAGAGTGAAATTTATCGAACCATGCACGCGGAGATTGCTTCAGTCCATATAATGAGCGACGAAGCAAACAAGCCTGGTCGGGTGTCCCATGTGTATAACCCGGTGGACGTTCCATGTATACTGTCTCTTTGAGCTCACCATGCAAAAATGCATTCTTGACGTCGAGCTGAAAGAGAGGCCACCCACGAATAGAAGCAACCGCCAAAAGAGACCGGACAATCACCCTCTTTGCCACCGGGGCAAATGTCTCTTCAAAATCAATACCATACTCCTTACAGAAGCCCTGGGAAATAACACGGGCCTTATACCGTTCAAGAAAACCATCAGGGAGAAACTTCAAATCATATACCCACCGAGATCCAATCACAGGTACCGTAGGCGGCGGACGAGGAACTAAATCCCACGTCTCATTAACGTGAAGAGCATCAAACTCCACACTCATTGCACGATCCTAGTGAGGATTCCCTTTGGCTTGAGAGTACCGGGTAGGAATGGGAATCGTGTCCACATTATACGCCATGTAATCCTGGAAATGAATGGGAGGAACGCCCCGAGTAGCACGAAGTGAGAGGCGAGGGACCTCAACAATCGGCGAAGGTGAAGGAGATGAGTTAGCCGAGGAAGAGGACCCACATGAGTCGTGATCTGCAACGGGAGGGGAGTCGCGAGGTAGCAAGTCATCCAGTTGGTCATTTAAGCCACCACCATCATCATCATCGGCAAATGAGGGAGGAGCGAGGGATAGGTCAAAAAGAGGAGGGTCGGGCACAGAATGGGAAGAATAGTATCTCAAGTTCTCAAAGGAAAACGACTTGACAAGCAATACGAACCCGATGCAAGGCCTGATCATAGCACAAGTAGCCCTTATGAATGTCACTATAGCCAAGGAAACAACAACGAGCAGTTTTGGAAGTGAGTTTGGTACGTTCCGAATGAGGAAGAAGGACAAAACAAAGACACCCAAAGACACGAAGACGGGAATTCGGAGGTGGTTTATTGAAGAGACGAGCATATGGACTGGTTTGACCAATAGTAGGTGTGCTCTGGTAATTGATCAGGCGAACAACAGTTGCAACAGTTTTAGGCCATAAGGACGAGGGGGCATAGGAAGACAGAAGAAGAGCTCGAGTAACCTCTACACACCGAGATACGATTTTTGGGAAAAGATGCCAAGAGACTTATATAGACCCAACAATGCACCAGAACTAAACTCACCCCCAGGATCAAAACGAACTACACGAACATTCCTATCAAACTGAGTTTTAATCATGGCAAGGAACTCGGTAGCAACAGATAAAAGGTCGGATTTTAGGCGAAGAAAGTAGACCCACGTATACCTAGTAGTATGATCGATGAACAAAGCAAAGTACTTAACCCCCATGCCTGACATAGCAGGACTTAGACCCCAGAGGTCCGTATGGATCAAATGAAAGGGTTCAGATATCACAGTTAGGCTAGACGGAAAGGAGATACGAGTCGTCTTAGCCTCAATGTAACTAGTACATGCAAAATCCGACGAAATTTTAGCAGTAGCTTTATTCCCAAGGAATTGTTGCTTAAACATAGTCATAAGCCGACTAGAGTTTGGATGACCCAACCAAGCATGCCATAACTGAAATGTTTGATCAGGGAGACTCGAATAAACAGGAGACAAAGGACAAGAAATGACTAGGGCAGACGACACCGAAGATGATGACGGATGATGAAGCTGCTCGAGGTAGAAAATCCAACCCAGTTTAGGAACATGATATGTTGATGGCAAAACAATATCCAAAGTATTAACTGAACCCATGTATGTCACATGTAATCTCTCGCCATTAGCAACTTGTAACGACACATTATCAATCGGACGAAGATACTTAAGAGTATAACCATTACCCGTCATATGATGAAAACAGGCAGAATCGAATATCAAGGTAGGGAGCTTACCAAAAACTTGCAGGCGAGCGAATGCAGATGAAATTGCCTTGTTCACTAATTGCTCCAACGCAGCAGGAGTGACAACAAGACTCTCCGTACTAGCTGGAGGCATCGCCTGCTGGGTTGCATATGCTGGCCGCGAGGAGCCATTCCCTCGAGCTCCACCACGTCCATCAGCCTCGTCGTTCCGCCCTTCAAGTGCCAGACAGTCGGGGATGATATGTCCGTTCTTTTTGCAGTAGACACACAAAGTCCTCTTCTTGCAATATTTCTTCGTGTGATCTTTCTCCTTGCAATGGAAACACTCCACGCCGGTGGAGTTAGCACGATAGGCCGTAAACGCCGCGTCATCCATCGAAGCTACAAGGTCACGAGAACCTCCTCGGCTTCCTCCACTACCTGATGACTCAGAGGGACGTTGCTGCTGCTGGGTTGCGCTAAATACAACCTGACCCTCACCAGAAGTCGAACGAACATCAAGGACAGCCTGCGTCCATAGACGCGTTTCCTCCTGAATAAGGGTTGCAAGAACGCCTTCTTCCCGGAGATTCTCACGGTTCAGCAACGATGCCCGGATTGGCTCGAAGTCTCGATTAAGCCTCATGAGAAATTGCATCAGTCGAATTTTCTCCCTTTCATCCCGAACCTTGGCAGAACCAGCAGTCGTGAGCAGCGACGCCGTGACCAGGTCATGTTCTGCCCACAAGTTGCGCGCTGCACTATAGTAAGTAGTCACGTCCATGTTGTCCTGATAAAGTGAGGCTAACTCAATCTCAATCTCATAGCGACGAGAAGAGTTGGTTGTCTTGTATGTATTTGTGCGGAAAAAATCCAAAAATGCACGAGTTATTAAAAACAATTCTCAATATACAATACTTGTACAAATATTTCCCAAAATACTTAAGTTTCACGTGGTTCGAGTCAGGCAACCTCGATCTACAGAAAGGTTCGAGTGACAGAGCCTCGATCCACTAACATCGCGGTAAATCCACTCGATTGGCAGAGATCTGACGGTAAGGATCGACCTTCAGTGCCGCGATCCGCGTAGATCGAGGGTGATAGACTCGATCTATGCCAAAGGAAGATTTTCCGTCCGCCAAAATCATGGGGATTACCATAAACGTTCTATTAATTACCTTATGTAAATGTTACCATTTAATGTTTTACCTTTTTTTTATTCTATTTTGAAAATAAACGTATCCTTTCTTAGCAAAGAAAAGGAATGTCTTCTTTAATCCGGTGGGAGCTTCTCACCCTATAATCCAACGTTCAAAACTCGTCCTTTTTATGATAAAAAACCTTCCTTTTATCATAAAAAAAACCTTTTTTTATTACAAAAAATATTCCTTTTTTAAATGGAATGAATAAGGTAAAGCCCTAAATGAATCAAATTTTGTAATGAAAATGTGTATTAATTTCGCGTAGCATAATGCACCGGATTAAAAAGACCTTCCTTTTTTTTAAAGAAAGGATGCTTTAATTTCAAAATGGAATGAAAAAGCTAAGTAATAAATAGATAAACGTTGGGCAATAATTAACACGTTAATCCACCTTCAATGCCCTATCATCCGTTCGAATTAAATAGGGTAATTAATGGAAACGTTTTTTATAATTCCCCATAACATTGGCCGACGAAAATAGAGGGAGGGGTGGTTCGCGGCAGAGAAGATCGAGCGGCGGAGATCGAGTTTCTCTTCCTCGATCTATTGCGACCCTTCAGTAGATCGATGATTACTGACTCGCACCCTTCATTAGATCGAGTTTCTTTGACTCGAACCGCGTAAAACTTATGTATTTTGGGAAATATTTATATAAGTGTTGTAGTTTGGAATTTTTTTTAATTAATCTTGCATTTTGGGAAAAGACCCTATTTGTGCAGATACTTCCACATCGCGGCGGCCGTGGGCAGCATACGAAGCCCTAGAATTATCGACCCATCAACAGAATTCAGAAGAATAGTGCGGACCTTAGCATCATTCATTGTCCATTGCATGATTTCTTGTGTTGTAGCCGGAGGATCTGGAGGAGCCGTCGGACGAGCAGTTGTCCCGTCGAGCCAACCCAGCATCCCCTTCCCTCGATCAGAGTACGAAACTGAAACTCCCAAACCGCATAATTCTTGGAGTTGAGCCGAGCTGCAATCTGATCAGTAGACATAGGCTCTAATACCATGATAGACGAAACAGATTATCAAAACAGAACGTAGAGATCGACACAGAGAGTTACGTGGTTTCCCCGTTCAGTATGAACGCGACTAGTCCACGGGCGATACTATCGTATCCTCTTATTCAGCTTAACCCTAACAGTTTGGTTACAAGTATATATATACAAGTCGTATAACCCATTGGCGGATCCAGAGGGGGCCAAACCAGGCCCCGGCCCAGGCCTCCTCTGGATTCAAAGTTAGTATAGTCCTTATGAATATTTCAATTTTAGATATTCGGTTCAATATTATTTTATAATAAGATTGTGTATAACTAGAAAAATAATTCGTATGAACATATTCAAATAAATACTCTTAATTTAGCTTATAAATTCTAGCCCCAAAGATTTTCGTCTAAACAAAAACAACGGAACCTAAAATTCTAAAAGTCTAAAGCGTAAAAGACTAATAAAAGAAATATGAGATTTATTCCATTGAAAATTTACTAGAGCAGCTGTTGGATATAAGGATGGACACATAATGGAAATTGATTAGTCGATTGATTTTAGTGTTGACGCTCTCTGTTTCCACAGCTACTACGGCGAGAACCTTATCAACAATGAAACATGTGAAAACTGATTAGCGCAACAAAATGAGCGATGAATTACTCGCCGGTTGCTCAAGTATTTTATTTGAAACAGAGCATACTATTGGTATGGATGTAGACTCCATTATTGATGCATTCGCTAAATTAAAACACCATCATGAACAATTGACATTGTAAAAAAATATAAAATCATTATCCTTTTTACGATATCTAATTTCTAATGAAATGCGGCACAGTGCACTATTGTGTTCTGGATCCGCCGCTGGTATAACCTTAACCCTAGTTACTAAGCATATACGGCCAACTCTTAAACCGTACTTACATAACTGTGGGCTAAGGCCCAAGCATACATAAACATATATCACTCAATATAAATAACATTACTTTCACTTTTGGGTCAACATTATATTAAAACTATTACTCTTTAAAATATTTATTTTTTTATACGCGAAGCGACTAGCAAACTAACCTTTCCTAGTTATATTAATGTATAGTATAGGTCCCTCATGCCCAAAAAGAAAAGAACAAGTAATTATAGATTTATAGGCCACATGAATGCACCAAAGGCCAACTTGCCTACTGCTGCGCTCGATCTCTCTTTCTGCTATAGCTAGTAAGTGGTACCGTTTCTGCGAGTTTCGGCTCTCAAATTTAGTGGCACATAAATAAAGTCAACTAACTTGGCTTGATAAAAGAAACGATCACTTTCGCTCTTACATATAATCTAAGTAAACCTAATTTATTAGTCAAACTTTTTGACTTTAATCAGTGGCGGATCCAGGGGTGGCCACCCCGGGCCCCGGCCTAGCCCTCCTCTGGATCCATAGTTAGTATAGTACTTATGAATTTTTCGATTTTAGGCATTCGGCTTAGTGTGATTTTATAATAAAATTGGGTATAACTAGAAAAATGATCCAGATGACCATATTCAAATCACTACTCTAAATTTAGCCTTTAAATTTTAGCCCCAAAGATTATGCATATAAAAAAAACAATGAAACCTAAAATTCTAAAAGTTTAAAACGTAAAAGACTAAAAGAAATATGAGGGTTGTTCCCTTGAAAACTTACTAGAGCAGTTGGTGGATGCAGGGATTGACACACAATGCCAATTGATTAGTCGATTGATTTGTCTAGTGTTAATGCTGCTCGTTTCAACAGCTACTACGAAGAGAACCTTTTCAACAATGAAATATGTGATAACTGATTTGCTCTACAAAATGAGCGATGAATTTCTTGCCGATTGCTCAAGTATTTTATTTGAAACAGTGTATACTATTGGTATGGATGTAAGCTCTCCATTATTGATGCATCACTAAATTAAAATACCGTCGTGTATAATTTACATTGGGAAAAAACTATAATCATTATGTTTTTTTACTATTCAATTTTCTAATGAAACTCTGCCCAGTGCCCTTCTGTGTTCTGGATCCGCCACTGCTGTAATGAAATAGTAGATGTATCATTTGAAATACAAAATAATAGTCAATTATTAAGTTTAAATTAACACTTTCTTTAGTTAACGTTGAACAGAGTAGCAGACAAACACAGTGTTGATCAGCTGGAGGAATTTTATGACTTGGCAATCAAGAATATGTTTTTTTTTTCTTACAATTTATTATTAGCTAAACATTTCAATTTTGCGGGTGCAAAATATACAAAACTATGGAAAGAAGAAAGGGAGAAATCTCCAAGAGAGGCGCGCAACAGGAAAGAGATACAAGCAAACAAGTATGGTGGCCGGCTGACTGAAGCGCTTCAATCTGCACAAGCTTCCAACTAACAATATTCAATCAATTTCAAAGCTCAGTTTGTTATAAAAAATAAAAATTAAAAATTTCCCATCATCGTCATCCTCTTCCTCTCGCTCATTGTCCTTTCATCCTTTCCTTCCAGGCGCCGATACACTTGACCGAGCCCGATACACTGGAGGGGGCCCAGGGGATAGCGTGGGCCGCAGCGGAGGTGATTGCGTCCCAGTTTGGAGAAGACGACGAGACTCGGCCGATTGCACCGCCATAAACAGAACAAGAACAAGAAGAAGCAGAAGCACCGGCTTCAGAAGGTCGACGACAAATTTCTTGCTCCGACTAATTACTGCCATCTCCTCAGAAACAAAAATGGCGGATGAATTAGAATTGCCAGTGTAGAAGGTTTGTTTATAATGTCTATATATCGATGAGAGAAAATTCGGCGCCACGCGTTTGTGAAATTAAAGTAGGTAGGTTTATGTTTGCATGCGTACGTACGACTTTTCTCTGTAGTAGACTTACGTTGCTTTAATTTTATCCAACGTACGATACCCCACAGTCGACAAGCAAGCATCACGAAGTTTCCATATATATATATATATATATATATATATATATACTCCGAAATTGGTATGGTAGAGCAAGACCAGTGTAAACTACTGCATTAGACATTAGTTAGTACGTAGCTAGCTGCCAAATTTGGCAAGGCATTTATCTGCGTAGACTTTCTGACGTTGATTCGCGGAAGATGGGAAGAGTCAAATCTTTGGAAAATCCGTCGGTCACCACTTTCCCCCGAAAAAGAAACAAGGAATCCACGTACTCATACCCATACTCAATTACTCATATCATTTATTCGTTACCCTACCTAACGTAGTTCGGGTTTTACCCATACTCATACCCACATAAGATTCGGGTAGAAAATCAAAATCATGCCCACATAATTTATCTTTATAATTTCTATTGAAATTTAAATATTCACACGTATACACATATTATATAAGTGAAAAAGTACGACAATAATTCACTAGAATGACGAAAGTTCAATTCAAACAACACAATTTCATGAAAATATTATATTTGTATGCAAAATATAAAAATATATTGAGAAAACAATGATCATTTCAAGACAAAATACATATAAATATATATAATCGGGCGGCTTCGGGTTGGATAGTGAGAAAACCATGCTCACCCATTACCCACAATATTCGAGTTCGGGGTTTACCCGTACCCACTGAAAATTATTCGGGTTCGAGTTTTACCCTACCCGATTAGGTCGGATTCGGGTGGATATCCACGATTTTGGATATTATTGTCATCCCTAGTAAAATGTCAAAGGGATTGGGCGATCAAAACTAGAAAGCGAGTTCACTTTGGACTTTAAAGGCTTGATCTGATACGCTTTGTCAGGACTTTTTTTTTTTGAAATGGTTTGTTCATTAAGAATGCGAGTGGGCCAGGCCCAAATGGAAAAGTACAACAGAAAACAACAAAGAGTGAAAAGCCAAAACAAGTGGCCCAAAACAAAAAAAGTCCAGCACCCAATAGGGCCCAGACCAAAGGCCCACCATCCAAATTCCAGCACTCAAACCCTAGTTGCCTTCTGTTTTGTCCCTCCTGAGTCCTCCACCCCCCAGCTGCCGAAAACACCCACGCCGCTTGATATCACCCACAGCAACGCAAACCACAAGCCACCATCGACATGCACCAAGCAAAGGAAAAACCATCCGACAGACCCAAATGGCGGGATGAAGAAGAAAGCAACTCCTGCCATCACGCCCCAAGCCGATCTTCCTCCGCCTCTTATCGCTCTAGAACAAAGAAACATTAGATCGACCGGTCGGCCGGTAGAGGAAACAAAGGAACGAGCACTTCGGTCTTCAAGATCTTCTAACCGTATCAAATGCCAACCGGCTGTATCTCCGAAACACCCAGACCTGCAAGGTGAGCCAAGGAGGTAGACAAGGATAGAAAAGGAGAAAAACAAGCCAGATCTAGTTCACATCTAGCCTCCATCGCATCTTAGATCGAAAATCATCTCCAGATCTGAAACAACAGACAAGAGGCAAAAAAAAGCATCCCAAAGAGGGGAGAAAGGAATCCAACAACGGGCAAGAGAAAAGCCCCAAAGGGCAGAAACAAGAGCCAAACAATGGCAGAGAGGACCGAAGAAAAAAATGAAAGGAAAGCAGCAAGAAAATCAAGAAAAGAAAAGAAAAACGGAGAGGGGCGGAGGGCTGCCACCGGTGGCCGGAGGGGATCCGTCGACAGCCCCCATGGCTGTCTGAATGAGAGTCCTCTAAAGAGAGGTTAGAGAAAAAAAAAGAGGAGGTTGTTTGCAAAACAACTAGGCTTTGTCAGGACTTTAGTGTACGATCTGGGCTGTGTGTTACCGACTTTAGATGTTAGTAGCCTGAACCCAAGAAAAAAAACCAGGTCAGAGATAAGTCCTTCTCTCTCTTACTTTTTTCAAAATCGTGCTCTGCCTTCTCTCTATCTCCAGCGCCTCTGTGTGATTTTTCAGGGGTTGCCGCCGGTCACCAAAAGGTGTCGGCGGTAGCCCAATTCCCTTTCCTTCTCCTTTCAGTCTTTTCTTGCTGTTTTGCCTCTGGTTTGGCATTTTTCAGATGGATTTTCCAGCTTTTTAGCTTCTCCTGCCTTTATGGCCTTTCCTTGCCCTATTCTAGGGTTCCTTTTCCAGATTTGCTCTCCTTGGGGTTGGGTTATGCATCTAGGGGTCTCCTCTCTAGATGGCGGGTTCATCAACATGCATGGTGAATCGATTCAGCATTTTCCCCTCCGTTCCCCCTGATAGTAGTTCTCTGCCTCTTGGTCGGCGTTGGTGGAAGGAAAGAGGTGTCTGGCCCTTATGACTGCGGTTTTTCAGCTCTTGGATTTTGGGGTTTGAGCTCTTCTTCTCCCTTGACCAAGTTCTTGGTGCCTTGTCTCCCTCTGCTTTTTCAGCTCGGAGCATTTCAATCCTTTTCCATTTCCACCGCCATGTAATCCCTCACCAGAGATTCAATGTGTTGATCTTTTCTGTGTTTTGTTCTTCCCTTGTATTTCTTAAACACAAATTGTTCAATCGTGTGCTTAAGGTTGTCTGTCCTTGATCTTTTCTGGATTACTTTGTTGGCTTGTCTTGTAACCTATCTTTCAAAGAGCAATACAAGTAAATCCTTTGTAAAAAAAAAAGATCTTAGCTTCCTAAAAGTCTGTCTGTACAAATAGATACAATACTTTTTTTTGCCATTAGATCACTCGTGTTACCGATAAATGAAAGATACAAAGTCCAACAAATCAAAGTGACCGAAGCCACGCAACGAAATTGAAACCCACCAACAATGGTGGCCTCAATAAAAGGGCTTTCCTTGCCACAAGATGGGAACCCTGTTCCTATTCCGACCCACAAACACACAATCAAAATGCTGAAAGGAGGAACGTAACACCTGGATCTCTTGAAGCAAAGCTCCACCAAGAGCATCATGTACCTCCCCGACCTTCACTTTCTGCAACACTGTTTGCGCATCTCCCATAAAAGTCACCGAAAACCAACCTCTGTCCGAACACCAACGGACTGCGTCCCGCAGAGCCAACAATTCCACCAAAGCTGGATCCTGAAGTCCTTGGTACCGCCGAGCAGCACTAGCTAGTAAGGCACCTGATGCGTCCTGAATAACCCATCCTCCCGCCCCATGCGATCCATGCTGCACTGCACCATCAACAAAACAAGACAAAGAGCTAGGAACAGGGCTAGTCGTAGACACTAAAGGTGCCGACACCACCAGCCGATGCTCACTCTCCCTTGAGTTATCAATCCACTTAGTAACCTGCAAGGAATATTGAAAAGCAAGAAAAGAAGGCTCATACTGAACGAAATCAAACACCACCCCATTACACGACTTCCAAATATGCCAAAAGAGAGCCACTAACTGCATAATCTCAGTAGAGCCTACAGCTAGCTGCTCCAAAAATCGGCGCCAGAACATCGCAATACTCCCAGTCGGCAGCCTATCCTTCCAATCTTGCAACCCGGTTATCTCCCACAGAGTATCCGCCGCCGGACACCGAAAAAATAAATGTTCTACTGTCTCTTCCTCCTCCCCTAAGCAAACCGGATAAACCACCCATCCCCAATCCCCCTAACCCGGAGTGCCTCCCCCGTTGGAAGCACTCGTCTAAGCATTTGTCAGACAAAAAACCGGAGTTTGGGAGGGATGGGTAGACCCCAGGCCTTACACCATAAACCTTTATCAAACATAGAACAAGAATCCTTCCAAGAACGAGGCCACGACTGCATAAACTGCGCAGCTAAATGATAGCCGGACTTGACGGAGTACCTACCATCAGACCCAAAATGCCACACCAACCGATCCTCCATTTGAGCACAAGACAAAGGGATAGCGGTAATTGCCGCTACTGTTTCCGCAGAAAACAATTGATTCAACCGATCCATCCGCCAAGCTCCCTGCCCATGATAAATCAAGGACGCCACCGTTTCCTGCTGCCCCACAACACCTGGAAGCACCTCGGGAGAGTGCAGGTGAAGAATCGGGACCCAAGACTCCCCAGTTAAAGGAATAGAGTGACCCGAGCCCACTTGCCAACGCAGACCCTTCAAAAGCAACTCACGGCCAAACAGAGTACTCCGCCAGCCCCACGAGGATAACGAGCCCTCACGAGCATATATGAAGGTTGACCGTGGGAAGTATTTCCCTTTATAGATACGGGCAAGGAGAGAGGTCGGATCCTTCAAAATTCTCCAGCCTATCTTATCCAGAAGCGCTTGGTTCAAAGCTTGGAAGCCATGAAAACCCAATCCCTCATCCTCTTTCTTAAGACATAACGTCCGCCAGGCCACCCAGTGAACTCGTTTCTCCTGTCCATTTGCTCCCCACCAGAACCGAGCTAGATGCCTATCTAAATCCCGACAAGTGAAAACCGGTAAATGAAAATAGGACATGACATGAATAGGCAAAGCATTCGCCACCGCCTTAATCAAAACTTCCTTCCCTGCCCAAGATAGACATCTTTGTTTCCACCCTTGAAGACGCTGCATAACTCGTTCTTCCACGAATCGGAAAGTATCCACTTTTGATCGATGCAATAAAGACGGCAGCCCTAGATACATATCCGTGACACCCACTGCACCAACTCCTAGCAGACCTGCCATCCGCACCTGATACTGATCCAACACATTTTTACCAAACACAACAACCGATTTTTGCATATTAACCTTCTGACCACTTAGTCGTTCATAATCCCTCAATACTTCCAACAGGGTAGCACATTCCGGTTCTGAAGCTCGCAGAAATAGATACGAATAATCCGCAAAGAATAAATGAGAAACCACCGGACACTGCCAACTCACTCGAACCCCCGTTAACTC